CGGTATATTTTATACACAAACAGCGTTTTCAAAGAATGTTTAAATATCTTTTATAAAACTAGAAATTACTGCCCTGGAACTGTATACATCCATGGATTTGTTGTACAAAATCTGTAACAAAGAAATAAATAATATTAAATAGCATGTTGTGATAAAAATATAGTTACTCTGTTAGAAACATTTAATAGAAAATTATAATAAAAAAAAAAAAAAAAAACTTACTTTTAACTGGATAAAGTAAAACCAATCTCATAAACCAGAATGATAGACAAAAGTCAGGATTATATGAGGGGTGACCAAGGTCTCTTCTCGTAGCTGGTCTTTACATGTTGGATGTGTAAAGAAATAAACTCCCTAAAAAGAAAATTATAATTAAAGCATCATAAAATAAATTTAACTAACAAATATGACTACGAGGGTCACAAAGCGGTATAATATTAAAACTGTAAAAACTGTATTTTTAATTTGGGAGTATTAGGAAATTGTGGAGAATGGCAGGCACCTTAGGGTATATTAACGGCTTAGGTACCTGACTATGGAGGTAGGCCTGGACAGATAAACACCAAAAATATTACGTTTAAGAATACAAAACATCTTTAAACTCTACCAAAAAAAAAAAAAAAAAAAAAATGTTTCCTAAATATAAGCAATACTCTAAATAACTTTAAATTTATTGTACAATAGAGGCATCAAGGAATGTATCTCTATTTCCATATACTCGATTTTGAAAAAGAAAATGATGAAAATTGGAAAAATGTATAAGCTTTTAACGATGAAGTGTAATTGAAATATTTGAAAAGAAAAAACTATAAAAGGATCAAAACTATGGGTACTTACATTTACAGGAGATTAAACAGGCCTTAAGGAACCGAATAAGCTCAAATAGTGCACTGAAGAACCACTTTTCACAAAAATCAGAAAAATTGTAAAAGAACTTCCAACAACGAACAATGGCGTCCTGTCATGACCATTTTTTGCTGCATAAATAATACTGCGCCTAAAAGAAAATATTGATTCAACTAAAAATAGGGTGTGTATTATTTGTTTATCACGATTTTGTAACAGTTCAATTCGTTTTATACTTACAAAAACAAGATTTAGACAATTTAGAGCAGATCTTTCCATAAATATCAAAATGTCAACAACATTTAGTTCCAAATTCCTTTTTTTCCACATTGGCGCCACCAGCGTCACTCTTCTTTTTCGTATTTCAGGACTTAAAAGACCAGTAGCCATAGAATCAAAGTAACGTTCTTCTTCTTTTTAATACTTATGGTCCTAAACATGTACCAGCCAGAGAATAGAAGGGATAGAGAATGAGCATCAACATGCGCAGAAGGTCTAATCAAGTTGGGCGCCATATTCCAGGTCTTCCTGTCATTTTGTATATAGGTGGTAATCTATAAGTAATCAAATATCAATTTGCTGTTTTCAACCATACGGGGGGTAATTTAAATTTAGTGAAATTCTATCATATATTATGGTTAGTTAACATTAATATAGTTTATTTAATTATCAGTTTCAAAACTGCGTACAATATTGGTATATAATACACTAAATATACGGATATTCTGACAAAAGACGCTACGGACAGATGACCTTTTCGTCGTTAAACTCTCGAAATGATATTAAATAAGTATTTACAATATTCCATGTTTACTTGTACTGAATTACGCGATTCAATTTAAAATTTTTGCAAATTTGGTAAGAATTGTTCTAAACAACTTTTGTTCAAGTTGTATATTCATAAAAACATTTGGTTCATAATTATTTTTGATGATTATCTACCTTGTATTTTAATATAAACCTAGAAAAATAGGATTTTGTTTTATTTTTTATTACGTCACTTCAAATTGTGTTTCAAAACTGTTACATAACATGTCCTATAACAAATATTTTCATAATACACAAACATCATTGATTTTATTAAAGGTATTGTGTAGTATTTATCCTGGTTTTGTCGAAAATAAAAACTCAATCTTGTAATGGAACATCAATTTTATATTTCTTAAATTATTTTTGATACAAATTCAATTTGTCGGAAATTCAAGTCGATAATATGATGATAAACAACCCAAATTATTCCTACGTATTTTATTATAAAACTGTTACCCGGTAAGTTTGTAAAACACATTATGGTTTATTGTAATACTAGAAAAAATCATTTATTTTTTGCACAAAAGAAGCTTGTCGATCCTTATTTGTCCATAACAAAATTCTGTATGTACAACATACATATAACTAATTATTATTAAGAAAATTAGATTTTTTTTTTTTTTTTTTTTTTTATTATTTTTAAAAGATAAAATAGTTTCTTCTCAACTGTAATATTGTCAACTTTGGCCTGTATTTTATCTATTTTTTTTTTTTTTTTTATTTTGTTTACAAAAATACATACTGGAAGGTACCGATTAAGTTTCATTGCATCAAATGCCTTTGCTATAAATCCTGGCTCTCAATTTAAGGCCATTGCAAAATGCTTTTGAACTTCATCATAGATTTTACAAAATTAAAAAGTGTAATATTGAAACAAAGTAACATTGTAAGCTTCATGACTAATAGTCTCATTTTAACACTCTTTAAATATCATCACGTTAACAATTTTGAATATTATATGATTTTCTCAGTGATTTGTGGCACAGATACAAATTAATATATGCCCCATAACAGTTTTTAAATAAGAAACTTCTGCCTACAGATTTAATTTTTCTTATTGGCATAATACCCTTTCTTTCTATATAAATCTTGCCATTTTTCAGTCCAATGTTCCTTGTATTTACAGTAGTAGGAATACTAAAATATTGACTATAGAACTTGATACTATGTTTGAAAAAGCCTTCATACCTGTAACTGTGCATAAATCTAATTAACTGAATTCTCCTCCTCTTGGCACTCTGAACACTGCTGCTGCTAATGTTAGAAATATTTAGCACAAAACTACAACTACCTACAACAAACTTTACAATAAAATGTTAAATTTTTCGCTGTTAGATTAAAATACCCTATCTTATGGTTTCTTTTCCTCCAAATAATCTTCTTGTCAAGTGAGGACCAATCTTATTTGACATATTTCTGGTACACTTGAACTTGTGCTTTCATGGACAATATAAGAGTGCACTGTTTTTTACAGAAACCGCGAACATTGATTCAAGTATCTTCTTCCTACCTGCGTAATAAAACATCCTCTTTAAATGGCCACATCATACACTTATTTTGACCATTCCCAATTAAATCACGATTTTTACAAATCGCCTTTAGGAAAACTAAAATAAACCGTTTTGGATCATCTGTAAACACGATTATGTTGTATAAACTTACATGAAAATAAATCATTTTTCCTAAGTATTCAGCTTTTCTTAGAATGACTATGACCAATATACAACAAGGGTTTTTGAATTAGTGTTTAGAATAATTGAGATAATAATAAATTTTAACTAGATAACAACACAAACGAAAAAAAAACAAAACAAACAGATGTCAATTAAAGAGCGGAGTGGCAGCGAGACCTGGAAGATGTCTGCCATCTTGCCGTCGACAAAAATTTGGATGCGCACTGGTCGAAGCTCATTCTCCCACTTCCATATCTCTGGTACCAGCTTGAAAACTGAAAAAACAAAGAAGAGATATCAAATTATAATCTATGGTTACCTGTTAGACAAAGATAATAACAAAAATAAACAATGATAGCAATAGTAAATAATTAAAATACATTAAAAGCAGTTTTATATTAATTATTTTATTCTATGATTTTAGACCTTAAAATGAAATATGAAATCTAACAGTTTAAAATTACGTGATCTAGATAATATCGCTGATATTTACGGTCTAAATATTCGAAATAACGAAAATCTTTTTAGTTTACAAGCTAAAGAATCCAACTGTTTGATAACAAGAACACTCGAGATTCAAGAAAAAGGATTCAAACTAGTTTTATTATATCCTGTATAAACTAATGCTGAATTTATAGTTAAGTCACTTACAAGAAAAAGTAGAGAATTTAAACAGTTTTCAAAAAACAGACTAATTTATCATTACATCAAGTAAAATGTAATACTTGTTGTATCGAGGATATGATTGCAAATACTGGAACACAATGCCAACAGGAATGCTGTGAAGGGATGAAAAATGTTTTACTGATTTATGCAGACAATACACGTACAGATTCTTATAATACTTACAAAAATGTCTAGAATGCTCTAACAAAACTGCTATATGCAAGGTATAAGTTATTCGAAGATACAGAGGTGACTTTAACAAATTTACAGCAAGGATTTGACCAGATTTGAGGCAAAATTCAACAAAATTCGGTAGCTAGTCCTGCTGTAAGAGAAATATCAAAATTATATAAAAGCTGATCAGTGTCTGGTCTTTTAGGTGGTCTTTATGTGCCGGTGTGTATTATTAGTAACGCTCCTAAAAAAAGAAAATTATAATTAAAGCATTGTAAAAGCAATATTCTAAATAACTTTATTTTTACTGTACAACAGAGACATTAAAGAATGTATCTATATTTCCATATACTCGATTTTGAAAATGAAAGTTATGAAAATTGTAAAAATATATACACTTTTAACACGTATAGATGTATCAATGGAATAATAAATTTTTTATAGCAAACTTACGTTTTATTAAAATATACTGGCCCAAATACTGTTGAACAGTCACAAACTAAATTATTTTATTTTCGGAATTCGTATAACAAAGTTATTGTTTGTTCTTTAACGATAATTTTAAAAATATTATACTTAGGCAACCAGATATATACATTACAATGCAATACTATTTTCTTGATAAAATGGTGAAGGAATTTTTTTTAAATATTTGAAAAAAAAATAAAAATAAATTCTATAATAATTAAAATAGTAATAAAAGTTCCTAATATATGAATAAAAAAGTCAATATACACATTCTACAAGTATTCAAGTGTATAAAGTATATCATTTTATATGTTTCACTAAAGATTTGAATAAAAAATCAAAATTTCGTGCTGCAAAAAAAAATATTTTAACTATTTCCCTGAAACTTTTATTCAGAATATTAAATTTTAGGGCAATAACAATCGGTTTGTTCCATGGCCCTTCTGAAGGGATGCTTTACACCAGCTTCTATCTCTCCCATGAGGATATCCTGGACTATTTTTCTGTATTTTTCTTCTTCCCTTTGTCCTTCAGCCAGCTGACGCTCTAGTTCTTCTTTCTCTCTTAACTAAAAATTAAAGAAAACAAAAAATTAATCTTGAAATCGTTCATAATTAAATATAGTTATTTATTCTATCAGTTGAATAATTTTATGGAAATAGACTATATAGTCTTTTATATAAACTTTATTAAGTAATACCAGGGTATAGGTAATATAAATAACATGTAAGGTACTTACTCTTAATACATTGTTGTATTCGATTTGTTTGTTCAAGTCAGCTCTGTATTGCATAGTTGCCATTTTTTCTAATCTATCACTTTCAGCTTGCAATCTTTCGTTGGTCTCGTACGCCATCTTTAACAGCTCATTTTCAGCTTCCTTATGCTTCAGCTGCTCTTCAGCTTCTTGTTTTTTGTACTTCAGTTGCTCAGCTCTTTCCATCAACACGTCCTTGTCAATAGACATAGAAAAAAATACCTTAGAAAACTTATACCCATAAAAGAGTTTTATTATGTTAACATAGGTTTCAAGAGCACATAGAATACCTATACTGTTTGAAAAATTGTAGTGTATCAAGGACTATATACAGGGTGGTCCAAACTGTATTCCGGAAACTTCGCCAGCATATTCTGCAGATAAAAATAAGTAAAAAAGTTCGTATAAATGTATGTTCTAAAATGTTTAGTCTCGGAGATACAGGGTGTAGAAGTTTCATTTTTATTTCGATTTTTTCCGAATCGTTTCTGAAGTAACGTCAATATTTGAATGAAAATTGGTATCTGGGCGGAGTTTTTTGACATTAGAAATCTGATTTTGATGTCAATATAACTCCTATTTGTCGGGGACCCCACTTATATGTGTTTTAACTGTATATTGAAGAGTAATAACTTTTCGTCCCTACCTGTATAAAACTGCTGAGTGAGAAAAATATAGATTTCCGTGATTTTCTACGATTATGTATTATTATTATTATGCGAGGAAAAACAAAACGTTGATATTTTGGCGAAAGTTTCAAACACCCTGTGGAATTATTTAACAATGGAAAGAATTTAAAAATCGCCCTTTCATTAAGACGCATCTTTTCTTGATAGTTAGCTATTTGTTTCATTTCTATAGCTTTATTTTTATTGGAGATATTCGCTTTTGAAGAAGACCAGTAACGAATTACCATCTATGAAATAGTTTTAATTGTCATTTTTTTAATGTCACTGTTATTGAATAGTCTTATTATTGTTGTTCTTCTGTAGTTACTCTAGCTTTTAGTCCAGAAGTTGATCCCAGTTGTTAAAAACATCTCTGCTAAAGTAAAAGTAACTACCAATAAACAATAATAATATAACAATTTAATGACAGTAGTAAAATTAATAGGTATACCTGTTGAAGTTTGCGTTTCGCTTCGACAACTTTGCACCTAGCTTCGGCCTGCTTGGCTTCAACCTGTTTCCTGTGGATGTCCAACAATTCCATCAACTTTTTCTCTTCGAGTTTTCGTTCTTCTTCCAGTTGTTTCAAGTGCTTTCTGTATAAAGCTGTTTCTCTCTTGGCTTGGGCTGTAGTGTCTTGGATGGCAGCCTTTTCCCTTTCCAGTTCAAGCTGAAAAAGTAAATTTAATGAAATAACGAGTCTGTAATAATATAAATGTTCAAAAACCTGAGCTAAAGTGTTGAACGATCGGTCCACAGCATCTTCTTCTTTTTTTCTTTGCGCGTGCAGCTGTTCCTCGATGGCAATCTGTTCCAGGAGTTCTTTGGCAGCTGCATCTCTTTTGCGACGTTTTGCATCCAATACTAACATAAAAAATTGAATTCAGACAAAATAATATAAGTCATGAGTTCAATTGAACAAATACCTTCGATTTCTTCTCTTCTTAGTTGTTCACTAACTTTCTCCATTTCCATTCTTTCCTCAACAGCCGCCTGGTTCATTTCAATCCTCTTCATTTCTTTCTGTTTAACTTGACTGTCCCAAACATGAAGCTAAATCTGTTTTCTCTCGTCTCTTGAGTATTTCTTGAACTTCGTTTTCATAGAAACAGAAAAACAAGTATAAATGTAAACTTTTTGAAAAATCTGCAGAATTTACCTTGGCTTCTATTTCTTTCATGGTCAGCTCGTGCCACATCTGATCCAGCTCCCTGTCAGATTCTCTTCTAGCTTCATTCTCCCTCATTTGCTGCAGCTGAGAATATTTCGACTCCATCAAGTTCTTCTTCGCCAAGTGTGGTCTCAGTTCTTGACAACGTTGTCTAACAGTAACAAACAAGATTTAAAAAAATATATTAACTATATATAAAAGGTTTTTTCTTTTAAGAAATAATGTTACCTATATTGTTCTATCCTCTTCTGATGCACAATCTCCAGTCTCTCGGCTTCTCTTTTTGCTTTCAACATCTCAGCTCTTTGTTTCTTCTCCTCCATTTTCAGATCTGAGCCTTTCTGAGCACTGTCCACAGTCTCGTAGTAGTACTGTCTTTCCTCTTTACACAGCAAGTCCTGCTTAACCTTAATATATTTGATTTTAGTTTATATGTATTATAATACAGGGTGAGGGTCTTAAATAAGTGCAAATATTTTTAGGGCTAGTATATTTCGACCCCAGAAACACGATTATGAGGTGAAAAAAATTGAAATTTGAATTTTTAATTTTTAGTTAAAAACCATAATTTCTTGATAATATCACCAACATAGCTAATAGATTAAATTAACAAGAAGAAACCCAGAAAAAAGTCCAGTTTTCTCAAAATTTAAGCAAAATCATTTTTTCTGGAAATTTGCAAAATAAAATAAGTCGGTAATTTTGGACTTATCTGAAAAAGAGCAACGAAAAAATATGTTTCTTTTAACGAGGATCTACCAGCCCCGAAAATATTTGCACTTATATCAGACTCACCCTGTTATATAGTCACGATGATTCTAAAGTGTAAGCAACAGATTAAAACAGAAGCAAAATATACAAAGAGGAATCAAAAACAATTTTTATAAGGCAGAAACAAAGATCTGAGAAACAAAAATGTGAATTAATTGCTCGTCATATAAAAATAACAAAACAGAAGAGAAGAAGGTTAAGAATAAAACAATAAGAGAATGAGAAACAAAAGGAACTGAAAGAAAATATGTAGAGAGGAGAAATAATAACATGTGAAGGATTAAAATAAAACAACAAAGAAGTGAAGAGCTCGGTCATGATGAGTTCTGGCTATGGTGAGAAAGTAAAGAAAAACTAAAAGAGAAATAAAAGAAAATAATCAAAGACAAAAAAAATTAAAAAAAGAAAATAATATTTTTATTACTTATTTTTTAAACTCAATATAAAAAATTAGAAGCAAAGGAAAAGGACAGCAAAATAAAAGAGAATTAAAGAGAAGAAACAGTCATGATAATTTTAAGCTGTGTTTACTCGACTAACAAAAAAACACAAGAAAAAGAGACAAAAAAGAGAGACAGGACCAAAAACGAAACAATGGCGAAGACAACTAAAATAAAAGAAGAGAAACGAAAGAGAAAAAAATAAAATGTTAGAGATAATGAGGTCGAAACTAAAGAAATTACAGAGAAACAAAAACAAAGAATTAAAAATTAGAGAATAAAAGAAAGAGAAACAAAAGAAGAAACTTACTTTCCTTCTTTCTTCCTACTGCAATGTCATCGTAAGCTTTCATTTTTCATTAACCCTATCGTTTATGGCTCGCTGCAGACGCTTCATTTGAACATGCTTCTCGTATTTTATAGCGAAAGCATTGCTCGCAGCATTAGATTTTTCCCGTTCCACTTTCAGATTGTCAAAGGAGTCTTTGCGTTGCTTGTAGTGATGCATTCGAACATGCTGATCAGTGTTAGGCTCTCTTCCAATCTAAAATCATTATTTTAGTGATTGAACATTACAGAAAATTTGGTAGAAATTTTTAAAATTTTTTTTTTTTTTTTTTTTTTATTTTTTGTTATATTAGAAAAAAAAATACGCCCCTTTATTATGAATAAATTTTACTTACATGGGCATATCTGGCAGGTTGAATAGCTGGGAAATTTATATCTGCTGGTACGGGAAACTTCCTGAGTTTCCCGCGGCATTTTGGTAGTACCATATCGCCTCCAAACATTTTGGTTATTTATATTTTATTGTTTCTGGTTCAAAAAATTGTATATATAGAATATAAAAACGTCAGCGTCTCTTGATGACAAGAAGTATACGAGCACGAAAAATAGTGAAAGGATTGATGTAAAGAGTTGATTGTTGAATCGATAAAAAAACCAGGGAAATAGATACATAATTTGGATAATCAATAAAATTGCATGGATTAGGGGTTGAAAATAGAGATAAAGGGAATATCACTATATACGAGTATATTTTGTGTTAATTTATAATAATTGGTATTTATATGTCTATTTTATGATCCTCATTTTTAATTATTTTTATTTAGTTTTTAAAATATATTTTTTACACTTTATCTTTGAAATATATTTATATGTTTATTGTCACAATAATCCTTATGAAAACAAGCAACAAAGTAAATTAATATACTTATAATGTCTCTAAAACAATAAACATGATTGATTGTTTATTTTTTGTTAATTCTTTTTTTTTTTTTTTATTAATAATATTAATTACCTCTTTATGTATTCAGTAATTATGTGGAAAATTCCCATAACAGACAGCATCTAGGTACTTTATCTAATGGTAATTATACTTGAAATTTGACCTTAAACTTGTACTGCAGCTTGCTGAACTTTTAGAAAACCCTTTTGTAATGATTCTTGAAGTCAGCGACTTTTTTTAGACTTTTCTCTATGAACTAGAAGACGTATAATTTTTTTATTTTTAGTGGTTTTAAATTTATAAAGGTTATGATAATAATTAATTAACAAGAGTTTTTTTATAGGGTGTGATATATTTTACAGTGAAAATGGAAGTCTGATCCATCATTATGATCAGCTATAATTTATATTAATTAAATGTTCCAAATAAAGAATCTAAAGATTATTTAAAAATATGGGCAATTTTCAAAAATCTATGATTAGGGGGCATTCATAATGGGACACAAAACACAAACTAGATTATAACAATACAAAATTATAATGGTTAAATATATAAATTCACAAAGAATAAAACAGTGTTATAAATAAAATAAAAAAAAATCTCATTTTTTTAAATGCATCACCCTGTATATTATTATTTTTGGATGCAAAATTAAAAAACAAAAAAAAACTTATTTTTTATTTAAAATTTTTTTTTTAATAATTTTTTTGTCAAAGCCATCTCATGATTGTTTACCTTATATTTTACTATCTTCAATTAAAAATTGAAAATTACCTCCAAATAAAAATAGTGTACTATATGCATGAATTTTATGCTGGACAATTCTGTACAGAAAAATGGGAGTTGCAATTTAAAAAGAACTTCATATGAATATATAAAAAACTAAAAAAAAACACCCTGTATACAACAAAATATTTTAGGATGTAAAATTCCTTTTAAACCATATACAATATTAATATAGAACATATTGGACTGTTCTCTCTCTCTTAATGGACCAAATTTGTGGTAAATAATATTCAGCAAAAATAACTACATATTTTCCTTGGTATAAAATGAAATATAACTTTAATAAAGCTAGGATTTAAAAGTTTTTTTGTACATAATAGTTTTATTCTTTTATTGTTGCTTATTTTGAGGTAATTCTTCCTTAAATTAATGTGCAAAAAACCACTGAACAAAGAAGTTGCGAAGTGTAGTTTTGCGATTTTCCATGTCTGTGCGCAGTTAAAGAAAATTCAATTTTCCACGCCTTTTCCGGCCAAAATATGTCCAGTTTTAGAGTAATACGCGAGGAAATAGCAAAAAAATATGGAAAACGTAGTTTTATTAGAAAACAATGACTTAAAAAGGCAGTTACTTTTATGTTTTATACCAAAAATGAAATGTCTGAATATAAAGTTATGTTTATTTATATTTATGTTAATAAAGTTAAGTTGATGGTAAGTTATTAATTAAATTATTTTTTAAGGCTATTTTAATTATTTAATTATTTTGTCATTCCCTACGGTGTACTTCTAAAATAAATTACATTCTAACCAATTACTAATTTAGAAAATGTTTATTTAATTAATGAGAAAAAAAAACATTTTTTTTATACAAACAATTATTATTCACATTAATTTATCTTTTCCAGAAATGAGATGAAGGATTTTCTACTACAATTTTCCGTCATAAAATAAACTCACTCTCTGAAAATACACTTAATTATTTTCATTTGCCTAATAAAGTATCCCATATAAAATAGAGAAAATACATTTTGAAAAAAAAAAAACAGTGTGGGTTTATTATTACTGGTAAATTTATTGAGATTTAACAGAATTGTATAATTTCTCCCTTTTATCTAAAAATTAATATATACATAACATTATTGTAATAATATTAACCAATATGATTATTTTTGGATATAGAACATTCATTAGAACAGCAAATTATGGTTTTTAATCAAGTTTTCGTACTTAGTAGCAAAAATGTCATACGCTGTCAAATAATGTCACAGTTATTGGTATAAACTATATATTTTGAAATGGGAACATCCTATATATTAGAAGTGTATTAGATAACACAATTTTTCTGACTTCAAAAAATATATCAAGTATGTTCTTTCTATTAATTGTTATATTTAAATTTGATATAAATGTTTGGGGCAATAGTATACAGGGTCCTGGAAAAAAGTATAAATCCATTTCCTGTGGGAAAATATTTTAACTTCTGTAGGGTGGCTCAAAAAAAGTGTGAGCGGATCACGATATTTTTCAAATGGAACACCTGTATACATTGACCCTTGGCTCCTTTCAGATCACTCTTACATAATTCAAGATATGAGTAAATATATTCTGATAATTTCAGAGATATTAATAAATAAATAAAAATATATATTTTTCAACCATTTTTAAAAAATTATTACAATTACCAGAACTATCCTGACAAAACTATATTAGGTGTTTACTTTTAGATGGTCTATATTTACCTACTTTAGCTATGAATATCGTAATCTTAAATCATACAAGGTGCTCAAAATTCAAACGCCAAGCTTCGAAATATAAAAAAAAAATCTTTGTTTTTTAAAATGGAACACCCTGTATATTATATTTTATTAGATGGAGAGCTAAAAATTAACATTTTTGTATTTAAAGTATTACAAAAATCTTTAATGGTTTCGCAGATAATACTCGCAGTGTTATTTCATATGGCTCTTCAAATTTTACTGTGGAAAATATCATATGAAATATAAACAGGATGCTTTTCACTTATCCATGTTTCGAATTCATTTTCAGAAAAACACTTCTACAATGAAAACGCGCTTGAAAAACACTCAATAATCCATTAATTCTCATTTTTAACATCAAAACCATCATGGATCTGGTATCCACGAAAGTCCTTGTGGCTATAATCTTCGGAATCTTTCGATTCTTCTTCGGCATGCTGCCTGTCAAACTTGACACCTGTCTAAGACGATGGGAGGAAGGCAGTACCGACAAGAAGACATTCATCAATGCCAAAAGACACCAACAAGTGACCTGTGCTGTGGCAATGACGCAATCGTTTGGTGGAGGAGTGATGTTTGCAACTTGCTTTTTGCACATGATGAGAACACTATTTGTTTCGGTGGAAGAACTGAAGAAAATTAAGGGAATTACGAACGAGTATCCGATATCACAGCTGATGATCTCTTTGGGCTTCTTCTCTATATATTTTTTGGAGGAGTTTAGCCACTGGATGATCAACTCGAATAAATCTTGCACGAAAAGTGCTCTGGATAAGGTTTGTATCAACTTAAAGTAACTATTATAGGCAAATAGTGTTTACACCTATTAACTAAAGAGTTTTTTGTATGATAGCTCTACAGTATGTCCCTGGATTGTCTCTGCCAAGAAAAACTGTTCTATTATTGACATTTTGAGAAAATGATTCTTTCATAAAAAAAATTTTACTTGTTCTAAAAATAGTTAATATCAAAAAAATGTCTATATCTATGCGGGAGGGATTCATCTCCAAAAAACCTTTATGGGTATTTCGCCACTTGCACTGCAAGAAAAATCTACAAAAATAAAATAGTTATTTTTGTAAACACATCTGTGTTAAACCTAAACGGACACTGTTTGTCAGAAGTTATTTTTACAATTATACCAAATTTGTCTAACAAAGAAAAAATGCTTTAACGTTTCTTGAAAGTTTATCTCTTTTCCTCGTCGTCGTAGCAAAAATGCAAAGAATAAAGAAAAAAACTATTTAAAATATTTAAATTCAACTATTCGAGAACACTTTACTTTTTTTAAAACAGATAATGTCTACAAAAACCGTTGACGTTCCAGTTAAATTTATTGTATATATATATATATATATATATATATATATATATATATATATATATATATATATATATATATACATATATTATATATATATATATATATATATATATATATATATATATATATATATATATATATACCTGATAATATACTACCTGATAACAATTACTTAATAAGGCAAAACCAAAAAGCCCCAAACTTTCTGTATGATTATTTTTAAATTTTACAATTGTTATGTTTATTTTCCTATGTTATGTTCTTTAAAATCAAGAAAGGATTGCCATACATTACTAACATCTACAGATGGCTGAGCAATACATTTATTTTTACTAGATTGAATTAAAAAAAAAAGTTTGTTTTTTTTTAATTTCTCTAAAACGGTAAGGAAAATTGGAAAAGTATAAACGGTATTAACCATTTTAGAAGAAGGAAATTTTTATGAAGAAAGCATTTTCTCAAAATGTCAATAATAAAAAAAGTTTTCTCCTCTTGTAAAGACAATCCTGGGACATACAATATAAATAACATTTACAATAAAAAAAAAAAAAATAAAAATTTCCATTATATTCTAGGAAAATAAATTTTCCTCTTTTAAAAAATATTACGTCAAGCTTTTCATTGATTGTTTTTCCATATCAGCATCTAAGATATTCCACTCTGAATATTAAAAATTCAAATTTTTGTTTGTGTTAATCCAAAATCCAAATGGTGTATATGCATATATACGACAGCCAAATATGTTTCTATGATATAATCACCTATATCTCCGTTTTGTAATTTTCAAAATAATAAAAAGGGAAAAGTTTTTTTTTTTTAATCATGATCAATGAGTTCTTTACTTTGATAAATTTTTAGATGTTCGTGTAACTCTATGGCAAATTTTTCTTTATGATAAATCTTATATCATCCAGTGGAGGAAAAAATCGTCAGAAGCTCAAAGTATTCATGAAATCCATAATTTTCATGGATATCAAAAACCATAGAATGCTAGAGAGAAAAAATATCTGTGAAATTATTATTTCAAGGGAATTTATTAATGAGTAGAAAAAAATATTGTGCTGGATTGGCGTTGGTTTCTATGTAATTTGACAAATAAATAAAGCTGTCTCCTTTACCTGTCAGTTTTGAGGCAATATTTTTTAAATTCCCTCTTTCGTAAGTGTCGATTGTTGATTGAATTGCAGCCAGAAATGGCTCAAAACGAAAATAAGTAAATTAATGATGATATTCAGGCTGAGGGGACAAACGCTATATCCAAACTACTTCCATTTAAACTCCGAATAACTAGCTTAGAAAGAACTACAAATAATTTTCATCAATATGAAATCTAGTATAAAAACAAAATTTAAAAAAAAAAAAAAAAAAAAAAAAAAAGTTGTTAAAGTATCATTTAATCTACCCTGAGGTTAAAGTACCATTTTATCTAGTATTTTTGATAGATATAAAACAATTTTAACAGTTGCTATGGAAAAAAGTGTATAAAAAAAATCTTTATACATTCCAAAATATACATTTTCATAGAATTTAGTTACAATCATTTAAAATTCTCCGTCAATTTTCTTTTTCTACCAATTTTTATATATCGGAATTCTTTTAATCTATTAATTAATAATATTAATAATTCGGAATTATCTTTTTTTTGGTTCGAGCCACTTCATGAAGAGCTAAAACAATCTTAGTTAAGTTGTCTGTAAAATTATTCTCATTCCGCAAATTTTCAGAAAGAAACCGCTATTACTACGTGAATTTGGTGACAATTTTTGTGAATAGTCATCACAGATGTTGACTGGATGAGACTGAGAAAAATTCAAATCGATATGAAACAAAAAATAAATAATTATTAATCGAAAATTTTATATTTTAAATCTATTTTTTCTAACTTCCATGATATTTTTGCATGTCTTAGAGGAAGCCAGATCGAAAATAGTTAAAGAAAACTCGCCAAGTTTGCCAAAAACACAAATTTTATTTAAATTGCATGCCTATTTTCTCATATCGTACGCCACATATACTTGAAGATCTGATGATCTCATTTTTCACCAAACAGAATTGGGTGTCTGTAGTAAAATTTTGAAAAAGTTTAGTTATATCCCAAAATAGCTAAGTAGCTTCGTGTCAGGTAAATTATATCTCACTTTCTATTTCTTTAGACCAATATAAAATCAGTAACAGTAACTGGAACGAAGTACAACAA